ACCACCACCTCCACCGCCTGCAGGACGAGGTGCAGCTCCTGCTCCACCGCCACCTCCACCGCCTGCCGGACGAGGTGCAGCTCCTGCTCCACCACCACCTCCACCGCCTGCAGGACGAGGTGCAGCTCCACCACCACCTCCACCAGGTCTTGGTTCAAAACCAGCTGCACCTCCACTGCCACCTGGCCGTGGATCGGGGCCTGCTCCGCCTGCACCTCCTGGTGGTAAGGGCTCCCATGTTCCTCCACCTCCATCTGTCGGGAGAGGGAGAGGTTTGTCTTCAGCACGAGGAAGAGGCTCAACTGGTTCTTCAATCCCCCCTAAGAAAACACCACTGAAGCCATTGCATTGGGTGAAAGTCACTCGAGCTATGCAAGGCAGTTTGTGGGCTGATACTCATAAACAGGAAAGTCAATCAAGGTTGGTGCATCTGAAGTTGTGCTGGTGTAAATATCGTAACTGAATATGTATGACATGTCATCAATTGTTTGGTCACAGAATTCTCATGGGTGGAATTTAAATTGGGGAATCTTAGCCAACTTCTATGTGCTATGTGGTTTTATTAATTATTTCCAAACACTGTAGTTAACTTCTATATGCTTCTGTATTCTAATTCAAACAATTACTGATCTTTTGTCAGGCCACCTGAAATCGATATATCCGAGCTTGAGAGTCTTTTCTCGGTGGCTTCGGCATCAGATGGAAAAAATAAGGGTGGGGGCCACCGTGGTTCTAAAATTAACAAGCCAGAGAAAGTGCAATTGGCAAGTGATGCTATATTCATATATATTTGCTTCTGCAAGTCTATTTTGACTTACTAATGTAAATTTTCCTACAGTTTGCAACTTTCTGATATGCATGGCGCCTGGGTTTATCTCAAATGAAGTTTGACAACCTAAACCTGATACTTGTAAAATAGAAAATATTTGAAGTGTCATTTTCAAATACAACATCCTTGTCTAACACAAGGTTACACGGACATCATAATACTGTTGGTCATTTAATGTAATTAGAAAGGGAACTTAGCTAATAAAGAGAGTTAAAGGAGAAAAAAAGAGGTAAAGGAATAAGTGCATGATGGAGAGCAAAGTCTTGATAGAGGAGAGGGTCTCTACATTGATTTTCCAATGAATTAATTTATTGATAGCATGAACAACATTTTTTGTTTATGATGTAATAGTCTTTTTATGGAATATTACATTGTAAAGTTCTTATGGTTTCTATCTGTTGTTATCTTCCCTCAGATTGATTTGCGCAGAGCCTATAATTGTGAAATTATGCTCACGAAAATCAAGATTCCCCTGCCAGATATGATTGTAAGTTCTATGCATTGTGCTTTTCTACACAACATACACTAAGAGTGGAGGCACTGCAACTACTTCTGGATTTGTCCGCTATGATATTATTATTTTTTCGTTTTTTAGATTGGTATATGCCAGTCAATTCTAATTCTTACACTACTTCGTTCTTGATAATTAGAGTGCCATCTTGGCTTTGGATTCTTCTGCGCTGGACATTGATCAAGTTGAGAATCTTATAAAATTCTGCCCTACTAAAGAAGAGATGGAAACACTGAAGGTAACCACCCCCCGCCCCACCCCACCAAATGGCCTCGTTTCTCTTGTTGTGGTTCGCCTATTCATGTTTTTGCCAAAGCTTGCTTATAATTCATTTGTAGTTTTCTTTTCCCATCTGATATTTGCATATTAACACTGTAGTCAAGTGTCATTGTTGTCCCAAAAGTCGTAGTTGGTATATTTTTAACTAAATGGATTTTGAGATGTGAAAGTCGAAAGGTACTCTTTGTTCATGAGGATAAATTCATGACTACGCAAACAAGGTAAATTGCATTTTTAGTTTGAACCTGAGTTCTTGAATTAATATTGTCCGTTTAGATATCGATGTTCCTATATTCCCATGAATGATAAGCAATCATTTGATTTTTTGAACCATTGTTTTCATCATTATTAAGAGTACACGTTAGGTGGAACATACTCCTTTATTTCCTAGTATCTTGTCTAATTGCCGAAATGATATAGTATTTCCGAACACTGATTTTTCTATCTCACATTACGTTTGTTTATGCTTCAGAACTACAATGGCGACAAGGAGATGCTAGGAAAGTGTGAACAGGTTTCTGATATATTTGGTGATGAATTGAGGAAAAACTGCTACATCAATTATATTACTGACAGTTGTGCTTCTTCTGAATATTTCAGTTTTTCTTGGAACTTATGAAAGTCCCTCGAGTCGAATCCAAATTGAGAGTATTTGCTTTTACAATAACTTTTGCAAGCCAGGTCCATATCTTTTATACTCTTCTTGAACATGGTTATATTTTAATCAAGGCGTCATTTACTAAATAGCTTTTGTGCATCAGGTTGAAGATCTTAAGCGTAACCTGAACACAATTAATGATGCTTCTCAAGAGGTACTTTTTTTTTATTGGGAGTAATATTTTTACCTATTGGGCGCGTTCAACTATATCTTTCTTGTTTGTAAATTGTGGTAGGTTAAGGAGTCGTCAAAACTGCGGCAAATTATGCAGACAATTCTTACTCTGGGAAATGCATTAAATCAGGGCACTGCTCGAGGTATGGGGACAAATAATGTCTTCTAATGTTTCTCATTGTGCTGTTTTAATTGTAAAATTTTGAATTTGTACTTGTTCTCTGATTGCTTGTGTTACAGGGTCTGCTGTGGGATTCAAGTTGGATAGTCTTCTCAAACTTTCCGATACTCGTGCAAGAAACAACAAGATGACCTTAATGCATTACCTCTGTAAGGTGAAGTTAAATTTATGCTGGTGTTCCCATGCTACTTTTTAATCCTCGGTTGTCAATGACACGGTGCTGGGTCGAAACTTTCCAAAAAAAATTTCTCGCTGGACAAGAGAGATGGAAGCTTAAGAAGAAATTCGAGAAAGAATAAAACATTTTTGATATTCTGAACGGGTATAAAATAAAATGTAATGATCAAGTTGATTTAATATAAAATGATTACAATATTGATTGATAGTTAAAAATATGTGAGTCAGTGAAAAATAATTTTTGTTAGTAAATGTGGGTCCATGATTTTTTTTTGTCTTTCCATATTCTTAAATTGTGTTGATGAGATTGAGGAGAAAACAATGAGATGGAATGAGTATTTAAATTTATCTAAAAATCTTTTGTATCGATTCACAATCTCAATGGGAAAAAAATGTCCGGCAATATGAAACTGGAATTTTTTGGTATCCTAACGCCACCTAAGTGTCATATCAAGAAATTTCCATCTGTAGGTTTCATGGTATTTTTGTGAGAAAGCTTGCCATGAACCCCAATTGCAATTCTTCCACACATATGGCTTCAATTTCGTTAACAACTTAACGTAGGTGGGCATGCCTTATTACTGTATATTCTGCATAATGTCAACGTAGGTGGGCATGCCTTATTACTGTATATTCTGCATAATGTCTATGAGGGTTGACATCTCGGACGCAAATAATTAAATGTTGGGTTAGGTTGAGAAATCCGAAACTATATTAATCTTTTTATGCATCAAGAAAACAAATGTACTAGGACGTGTCATAATTTCTAGCCTTGAATTAGATGCCAGTCATCATAACATTACTGTATTGCACCTGATACGCCTAAGTTTTTTGTTGTCAGCAAATTTCCTTTTATGATGATAATAATTTAAGGCGGCCTTGTAGTTTTAGAATAAGCAACTTTTCGTACTGTGTTTCTGAATGGATGCCTTTTTTTATTGGATGCCGATTATCAAGTCCAATGATCTCATCATGCTGCTGCAGTCTGTTCCTGATCTTTTACTATATTCTCCTATTCTCTTTATCACCGATATAACTTTATAAATTCTGGTTTTGTTGCAAAGCTAACTATGTTTTGTTAATTGTGTATGTAATTTTCAGATTCTAGCTGAGAAAATGCCGGAGTTGCTAGACTTCAGTAAGGATCTCATACATTTAGAACCAGCCTCTAAGGTTGTCTTATATGCCATAATGCAAGGTTTTCATTCCCAAATCGGAATTAGTATCATAAAGTATATTAACCTTTGTGGTACTTGTTCATCCTATGTGTCTTTTAGATACAACTGAAGTCTTTGGCTGAAGAAATGCAAGCAGTTAGCAAAGGCCTTGAAAAGGTTGAACAGGAGCTCACTGCAGCAGAGAATGATGGTGCTGTGTCCTCGGGCTTTCGGAAGGTAACTTCAAAAGCTTTCTAAAATGAGATCCCCGATTTTTGCGCCAAATATAAGAGGTGTCTATAATGAGACCTAACCTCAGGGACTCCAATATTATTCACACACGCACTCATACAAAGTCTTGAGGAGGATAATCTACAAGGGTTCTGTTCCACACTTCCATTTCATATGAATTTTTTGTTACTTCCGAAACTGGATTTAACAGGTCTTGAAAAGTTTCCTCCACACTGCTGAGGCTGAAGTGAGGTCGCTTATCACCCTTTATACGGAAGTGGTAAGATCTAACTGTTACTAATGCTGCCACTTAAAAAAAAAATAAAAAAATAAAAAAATAAAAAAAAAATCTTTCTTTTGTTTATTCTGATTATCGGCTTGTGGGTAATTCCTTTGAAAATATAATATGCAGGGGAGAAATGCAGACTCACTTTCACAGTATTTTGGTGAAGATCCAGCAAGATGTCCCTTTGAGCAGGGTATGCTAATATAGATAATTTTTTTTTATTGTTGTTATTTATGTCTAAAGTTTGTCTAAATTCATTCTTATTTCAACCTTGTTCGCACTCAAAGTGAACACAAGTAAAATACTAATGATATAATAATATATTGTAACTTAGAGATGGGTATTTTGTTATTAAACTGAATCATGGGTATGAAGTTTCTTATGTTGCGACCATTTTGTCTTTCGGTTCCCTTTCATGTGCAGTAACACAAACATTAGTTGTCTTCACTAAGATGTTTAACAAGGCTCACGACGAAAATGAGCAGCAGGCTGATGCTGAAAAGAAGAAATTGGAAAAGGAAGCTCTCAAGGAACAACAAGTGGCCGCTAATTCCCCTGCACGTAAAGAAGGGGTCGATGCCCTTCGTGCGAAACTCAACTCTCGTAATCAGAAAACCGCTTCTTGATCAATAGTGTGAAAAAAGTCCCACACCAAAAGACTTGATATAGTCAAAATGATTATCGACTTGAAAAAAAGCTAGTCGATAATATGCATATATCCAGGTGAAGATGATTTTGGCATGTTCGACAAAAATGTACAGAAGGCTGTACATGGAAACACCTATGAGGATATGAAGAAACTTTTGGAGACTGCCCGAATTTTGTTTGGATTCACTCGGTCCACATTACGCCCTCCACGCACGAGTATATTATTCGTTTTAGCTGTACATAATTGTATTCAGAATCTGTTAAGAAAAATGTATCTGTGGTTTGAAGGAAGGTAAATCTTTACGCCTTTGTCAGCTGCTCAGACCTTTTGTTATTAATTGGAAGAAGAAGCGCGTTTTATTCGGGGAAAGTTGCTAGTTTCTGATCCCACGCATTTGAAGTTACCTTATTCTTTTTTCCCAAAATAACGTTTTTCACTTTCAATTTCTACTTTCGGATGAGACAAAATTTATCCCGACTCTCAAGTCTTAGCGTCAGCTTGAATTTGATGAGAATTTATTAACTGCATTAATAGTAGTGTTATTGTGTTTAAATATTGACCGTTAGAACAGGTTCAAGTAGGCACTATACAGTACTATGGTAGTTGGCTCTGCTAGCCTTAACAAAACGATGATTGAAGAAAAAA